AATAGAGGTAGACTAAGTTAAATGGATAAAAATAATGGTAAATTAAGGAAGTAATGTCAGAGACCCAAACGGCTGGCGTTCGGCTACACCCCTCAAGATGGCGACTATTGTTTACAAACTTGCCGCCTAGCGCGCCCGCCATCTATCGGAGCTTAGGTACATAACACTTGCCGAGCTGACAGCGCGCGCCACCTATCGGGGCTTAGGTACATAACATTCGCCAAGCTGCCGATGTATTATTTACAGTTACAAGCTATGTAATATATACACTGGATTCAGGTTGTTAAATCAAAACAAAGACATTTTATGGTCGTTAAACTGAAACATGCTATTGGCTTGCATCATATTGATTAATCAAGAAAGAGTATTTTAATAATTAAGGAACAATTTAAAACCAACGATTAGTTGATATTTATTCCGATAGATAGCACAAGCCATCAGCAACTTTTAGTAGAGCACGATTAGGAGGTGTCTTTCTTTTAATATGCAAATTGTTTTTGAAATCGAGTAATTAATAACTAAATCTTTAGATAATAAAAAGAGTTATAAAAGGAAGATTTGCAATATATATCTTTTCAATATAATATGGCAAACCTTCGAGTTTTAGCAATTCTCCACAGATCTATCTGCCACTACTAGAATCGGCCTGAGAAAAAGCTAATACGCGAAAGCTTTCAGCATTTTAATAAAGCAACATCTTGCTCTTTATCGTTTTACTTTTTTAAAAAAATAAAAATGCATACATTCATGGACAAAACTTAAGGAAATAGAAAGTCTCTGATGTTGCCGGTCGTCATTTTTTTTAAGGAGAAAGAGAAAATTTTGTTCACACTTGGTTTTCTCGTATGTCTTCATTAAGGTCACTATAATATCTTTCAAAGTTATTGTCTGAATCCCGATATACATTTCTAAAAGGTACAACTTCCTTAAGTTTTGTCCATGAGTGTAATTGTGGTTTTATTCAATCGATTTTAACCATTTCAACTCTAACTAACTGAAAACCAATTTTTCTATATCGTGAGTATGCACGAGAACAACATAAAATCGAAACAAATTAACTTCTTGTTGCGAGTGATGAATTTTTAGATTTTGACTGCCAAACGTCTAAAAAGGTTATGTGCGGGAGAACACACTCAGTTGTGTTTTAAGTAATATTTGGTTTATATAATGGCTTATAGAGTTTCATATCAATATTTTTATGTATTCCACCATTTTCTTTTTTCTCAGTCTAACGCTTTCTTTAGTTTAATTAGAGTAATAATCGTATATGACTATATACTAATATTTGTCATATACACTCAGGGTGACAAATCTTAAGGAAGTTGTATATATTAGCATGTATATTGGGATTCAGACAATAACTCTGAAAGATATTACAGTGACCTTTATTGAATTCAGGTGTGTATACACTCATAGACAAAACTCACGGAAGTTGCACCTTTCAGCATATATATCGGGATTCAGACAATAACTCTGTAAGATATTACAGCGACCTTTATTGAAGATACACGAGATAACCAAGGGTGAACAGCCTCCTCGAAAAAAATAGACGACCAGCGATATTAAAGACTTTCCACGTCCTCAAGTTTCGTCTATGAGTGCAACAATACTCGTTTGGCAAACATTCACAAATAGAGAACTCTAGCGATACAAGGCCTTTAACTAATATTTATTTATTTATTTATTTCAACACACAAACGCGATATCCCGGCTAGGGATAATACGTCGATTTACATTTTTTTAAAACAGAAACAGTTATAAAATTTTTACAAAAAAAAAAAGTAATCGAAACAAAAAGAGAAAAAAATATATATATATATATATATTAGGAACCTGAACCTTTCAGGTTTGAAAAAAAAATCATGAATATATTTACAAAAATAGTTAAACTTATGATAATTCTCTCTGCTATTTACAAATTGATATAGATCTACAACATTATTTATTGTCTGTTGTCTAGCGGTGAAGAAGAGTGGGCATTCCAGCAGTAGGTGTCTCGAGTCCTGGAATTCGTTGCCACAATGACAGCTGGAGTCTTCAATCGCGCCAATTTTTAATAAAATTTCCATGGTTCGTTATAAACTGGGTATTATAAAAATTGGAGCGGAAATATGTTGGAATTCCAAACGGGAAAAAGCTTTGGAATGTTTTATTTGTTTTTAGAAATAATTCATTTATTTTTGCACTTAAAAATGATCCAATTATACTTGGAGAATGTGGTTTATAAGTATTTTGATCCTCTATTAAAAGATGAGCCAAATTATATTTAATAATTTTAGATTCAATATAATCTGTGAGAAGGGGGATGTGTGTGTGTTCGCAAGACTATGGACACAGTTGGAAGATGTAGTTTTGTAGGCTCTACTCACCCAAAGAAGAATTTGATATTGAGTAGAATTTAGTTTTTCTTTGCATCGACTATTATTCTTTTTTTTAGTATTTAATCCCCACATATTTCCACATAGTGAAAACAGAAAATTTTTCATTCTTACGATCCTGCACAAAATGTCGTTGATATGAGGGGTAAAATTAATCTTCTTTTTTATTCTATGATTTGAAAATTTTAGGCCTAATATCTTAACTTGATCTACTGGGTTTAAAATAATATTCGATATTTCAATTGGAACTTTAGATTTATTATGTAAGTAAAGTAAATTCGTTTTCTCTGGGCTTATTGATAATTTATTCCTATTACACCATTGCATCACGTAGCATAGAATATATTCGCTTAATATTTTGAGATCCTCGACAGACTTGCTCCAGCAAATGATAGAAACGTCGTCTGCGTAGCAAATTATTTCTGCGTTCGGATGTTTGAAACTCTTCAGCAAGTCGTTTAACAAAATATTCCATAATATTGGGGATATAGGGCCGCCTTGAGGGCATCCTTTTGTCAGATTTTTTGTAACATTTGTGTCTTCATATGAGAAATTTGCCATTCTTTCACAGTTTAAATAAGATTGTATAATTCTTATAAATTTGGAGGGAATGTTATCCAAATCGAGTCCTTTAATAATTGTAGGCCACCATGCGTTGTCGAATGAGCCTGCTATATCCACTGTAATCAAAGAAATCAGTTCTCCTTGTCTGTGTTTCAATATGGTTTCCATTATATCTTCCATTGCACTGTTCGTTGATTCATGTTTAGTAAATCCATGTTGCCTTGGACTCATTAGATTGTTCTCTTCATAATATTTATTGATTTTGTTTTTAATTATGTTTTAAAAAAATTTTGAAATGTTTGATGTCAATGATATAGGTCTGTAGCTTTTGCTTGTTTCATAGTTCATTTTATTAGGTTTTGGAATGATCTTTACAGTAGAGCCTTTCCATACATCCGAATAATAACCTAATTCAATACATTTGTTGAATAATTGTTGTAAAATCGGGATTAAAAGTGTACCTGCCTGTTTGATCATATTATTACTGATAAAATCTGGACCTGGAGCTTTCTTGATATTTAATTTTGAAATAATATTTTCAACATCTTTTATTTCTATAAAAATGTTATTTTGGTTGTTATATTCAGGTTTATAGTTTCTAATAATAGCATGTTCCTCTTTATCTTAGTGTACATCATCATCTGGAAATAAATCATTCAAGAGACTATTCATTTTTTCTTTCTTTAAAGTATCCGGTATATTATCTATCATAGGAAGTCCTCTATTGTTGTTGGATGATCTCAGAGATTAAAAAATTTTATAGGCGTTTCCAAATGGGTTGTTTGATTCATTTTCTTCAATGAATTTTCTCCAACTTTTTTCTTAGCTCTTTCGATAGCGTTAATGTACTTGTTTCTCGCAATTTTAAAAGTTATTTTATTGATAACTCTATGCCGATAGTATAGGTTTCTAAAATAATGAAAATCATTTTTCATTTTTTCAAGATTCCCATTCCACCACTAATATTAGATGTATGCTTGAAAGAGTTTGATTTGATTTCCAGAGACGAATAAGCTGCCTCATTAATTATGTTCGTAAGTTTCATCACGATCCTGTCAACATCTGTAGTATTAGATGCCTGATTTATTTCATTAGACCAGTTATGTACATTTTGAAATGATATCTCTTCAGTAAATATTTCCCAGTTGGCATTTTTTTTCAATAAATTTCCATGTTGACTTTTGTCCAATTCTCTGAATTTTAAAATTATATCGAATGTCAAAGGTTATTGCAACATGATCGGAAATACTTGTAAAAGTAGATGTGCTCCAATTCTGAATCAGCTTTATAGAATTTTTGTTTGATATTGTTAAATCAATTATACTGGCATTTCGACATGTAGGCGTTTTAAGGTTATGGATAAACAAGTTGTATTCATCCACAATAGAGTGGAATTTATAGCCATTAGAGTTAATTATACGGTTGTATCATACAGAGTGTCGAGAGTTAAAATCACCACAGAGGAGTATTGGCTGTAGTCCAAAAGTCTCCAAAATTCTTCAATAAATATTTGGTGAGTATTACCGGAGTTGTTAGGGTGGATGTAGAATTAACTAATATTTAATATGCTTCAAATATCATTGCATATAATGCTATAGAATATAGAAATATGTACAATATACATAACTCTATTGAAAAAGAAAAAGCCTGATGTGTGTTGCTATTTTTGAAACTTATAATTTGCTCTTGGATAAAATATTTTATTAAAAACAAACTCCATACACATGCATTAAAATATGAAATATTTTATTTATATCATGTATAGAATTTGTTATTAATATTTAAGTTCAGTATTTATATATGTTTGAAGAGAGACAAGATTTAAAAACGAAAAACCAAGCATTTAAATCGGCTTTGACACGCCATGAGCTTGTCCTAAAAACAAATTGGGTAACAAACCAGATATTAAAACAACACTTAAAGTTTCACCGCATAAGTTTCTTTTCTGTGAAAAATCAATATTTATTTCAAAGAGAAATATTTACTATTTCTAACTTTTTTGGATGAAGTATGAAAGGGTGAAAATATGAAGAGTAATGACGAACGGAAAAATAAAAGTGTCCAGGGGCGGGAATCGAACCCACAACGCTCCGCTTACCGGGCAGATGCCATGTCCACTAGGTGCCATCTGCCCGGTAAGCGGAGCGTTGTGGGTTCGATTCCCGCCCCTGGACACTTTTATTTTTCCGTTCGCCATTACTCTTCATATTTTCACCCTTTCATACTTTATCCAAAAAAAGTTAGAGAAATAGTAAATATTTCTCTTTGAAATAAATATTGATTTTTCACAGAAAAGAAACTTATGCGGTGAAACTTTAAGTGTTGTTTTATAATCATACGCCGCAGTCCTTTATAATGTAAACCAGATATACTTCAATCAAAAATAATAAAATAATCTAAAAGTGAACTTTCTTTTCTCTTCCAATATGAATATATTAAATTTATTTAGTTATATATATTGATGAGACAAAGGCGGGGATGTGATGCTCAGGTGGTTTATTTGGTGCAGTGCTGGACTCGTGGTCCGGTCCAGGAAGGTCATGATGTTCAGGGTCTCGGCAGGCCGGTTGTAGGAGGGGATGGAGCTATAGCTAAGGCAGGGCATGTTAAACAATTCCGTCACGGTGTATTCCGATCGAGAGATTAAAGATAACTGTACGTTGTATTTAAAGCATTGCCACGAAACGGTGGTCAATGGTCATATACAATTTAACCCCGTCCTCTCTGTGGTGTCGTTTCTCTGATAAGTAATTAATTAAAATAAAAAAATAAAATAATTTGTACTGCTCCCGTGTACCATCGTCGGCTACTTGTTAACACACAACACCACCCCCCCCCCCCTCTTATCTTAGACTCGGTTCCTCGAGTCACCGTTATTTCTTTCTATGAATTGTTTCAGTCTTGACACGTGTGCTAAAGTGCACTGCCGCCTATTGCTTCCGTTTCGTCCGTCCAGTAGCCGTAACCTATATGTGGTTTCTTTTATCCGGTCAGTAATCTCGTATGGTCCCACGTACTTCGTAAGTAATTTTTCCGTTTTGCCCGGTTTTCTTCGTGAAAATTCTAATAGCACTAAGTCCCCAACTTCAAACTTACAAAAATGTTCCCGATTTTTTTTATGTCAAAGTGGCATTTGTTCATCTAAATATAACTGCACGTTGTATTTAATTGAAACTCAAATCAATGATTCTGATTTTTTTTAAAACAATAATAACAGGTGATGAAATAGGGTGCTTTCTTTTCGATCCACAAACCATAATACAATCACTCGAATGGCACACACCAAGTTCTCCTAGGAAGAAGAAAGTTCGTCTTGACAAATAAAGCTTGTAGTGTCAAGGACTTGTCTATTATGAATTTATTAGAGAGGGGGTTACTATCAATAAATAGGCATACAAAGAAATACTTGTGCGCCTTCGTGATGCGATAAGAAGAAAAAGAAACAAACTCTTTAAATCAAAACAGTGGAAATTGCATGTATACAATGAGTAAACCTGTAATTATAATAAGTATGAAAATAGTACAAATGTGATATTGTACTGGAATAAGGTGCATAAATTAAGAAAAGGGCATCTCTTTATCGTGCAACTGAAAGTTGCTGATGGCTTGCGCCATCTATCGGAATAAATATGAACTATTCTCGTTGATTTTTAATTATTCCAGAATTGGCCAAATACCCATTCTTGATTAATCAAGAAAAGCTAACCACATACGCGTTTCGGGCTGTTGGCCCTCATCAGCGTGGTACAAGGCCAGGTGTATTTGACCAATTCTGGAATAATTAAAAATCAACGAGAATAGTTGATATTTATTCCGATAGATGACGCAAGCCATCAGAAACTTTCAGTTGCACGATAAGGAGATGTCTTTTTATTTTTATAATAAGTATATCATATATCAAATCCTAATGTATAATCTCAATAGGTATATAATCTTAACATATATAGTTTATATTCATCAGTGCCATTTATATTTAATATGTAAATATAGGAGAGATACATTTTTAGGATTCAATTAAAATATATCGTTGTTTAAAAATGTTCGTTAAAAAATATATTTTCGTCTTTATGAAATATAATTTATTTCTAAAATATATTTATATCTATATAAAAAAATTCCAAATTATATTATTTATTTTCTATTTATAGCAAATTCAATATGAATATATATATAATATATTTTTATAGAAATAGTAAATATAGTTGAGAGAGAGATTCAATATATCAAATATCTAATTATGAATATTCAACAAAGATGCATATATTGGATTTATAATTATTTTATTGTTCCAATATTTCGAGGGGCAACTCGCCTCTCTTTATCGAGGATGTTTGTGTTTTTTACTAAAACATGCTAGCACGCGTACACCACTCTCGTTCTACAAGGCCAATAAAAGAATTGTATCTTTGATTTAAATATTACACTCAGTATATATACAGCTAACAATTTTATATAATATTACAGATCAACACCATTATTATTATTTTGTCCACACATTATGCGTGAAAGAGAGAGAGAGATTTATATACAACAGTTGAATATAATTTTAATTATGGATTGCTCAATCTTCAAAATTATAAATCTATCTTATAAAGTATATTAGAACTGACGACTCTAACAATAAACAATTCTATAACACTACAGAAATAAGAGGAGTGACATCTTCAGGAAAAGCTATCAAACAATCATTATAAGAAAAGTTCAAAAAGCTGATTACAGGAAATGAAATGGTATTTTCTGAATAATTCTTTCTATCACAAATGGAGACATTCAATTTCCATTTGAATATATCATCAATAAATATCATCATCCCAATTCTATGAATGTCATTTATTCTTGTCATTATGCGTCAGTCACATCTAATCTTCCTTTGGGAGAATTTTCTTTTTTTGTTCTTTCATTGGTTTGGTAACTATATTTTATGAGTTTTTTTCTTTCATTGGGGATGTCTGAGATGTGATTATATATTCATTAAAACGAAGAGAACACGTATAACAGTTTTCTATCTTAGTATATAACGCTGAATATAACGGTGGTTAATGGAAGATTGATATAAACCGTTAGTATATTCGATAGCCACGAACTGGGTTCGAATCCCATACTGAGAACTTTTTTCTGAAGAAAATATTGCATTAATAGCCTTCGATTCTAGTTTTCGTAACCCAGATGCCTGAAACCACTTGGCCCCATGACTGCAATTGTTTGTGGTACCACATATATATATATATATGTGTGTTTGTGGTACCACAAACAATTGCAGTCATGGGGCCAAGTGGTTTCAGGCATCTGGGTTACGAAAACTAGAATCGAAGGCTATTAATGCAATATTTTCTTCATGACTACGCCATGACTTCAATTGTTTGTGGTACCATATATATATATGTATTGTTTATTATAAAATTATTTCTAAAGACCTTTTACTACATTAATTAAAAAAAAAAGAGGAAGGCCTAGTTCTCAACGTTGGTGAATCCCTTCAACCATTTCGCCTATTCATTCTCCTAGACCGCGCTCTTTTATTGTATTAGACTGATTGCCTTAAATAATAGGCATTTATTTAAAAATACGGAGTAAATTGTTTCTATGTAAATACTACGGGCACAAGCATTTAAGACTCGAAGAAATAAATATATACCTTAACTATTATCTAGAAGCATTTAGAAGTAAAAATATAGCAAACACTTCTGAAAATAGCTTATCAGTTTCTTCATATTAAATCACATTAAGTTCGAAATTCCAGATGATCGTCCCCGCCGCTTTTATTTTAACTCAGATACATCTAATTGCTAAATGACAGAAGATAAAATATTCTTTTCCCTTTTTAGTGCATTTAAATAAAAGTTTTTCTAAAATGAATTTTTATTTATTAATTATTTTTTGTATATTTAGAGTTATGTATGGAATAACATATGAGGTAAATGGCCTCCATACAGTTCAAGAGACAATTCAATTACTGTCATTTCCTGTAATTTCATGTTCTGGTGATCAGTTGATTGTCCATATCATGTAGCTTTACGCCGTTGGACCATTTCCTTAAGAGATTTTGAAGTCTAAGATATGACAACAAGCTCTCAAAACCACTTTCGCCATAAATGAAAAATATTGGACGCCATAATAATTACATTCAGTCACATTTAAACTAAATGTATATGTAAAATTACAACAAGAATACGTATATATATATATATCTATATTAATAAAATGCAAATTTCATAAGTGGTGTTCGCTAAAAACTTTCGTTACAATGCATCAATTTCGACCAAATTTTCAACATTTATGTAAAACGAGATGGAGCAGGTTTTGCTTAACATCAAAATATTTTTCCTAACATTAACATGCGTAACTTCGGTGTTATCGATTAAATACAAAAGAAAATCAACAGAGTTAATTTTATTTATATATAAATACAAAAAAAATTCAACAGAGTTAATTTTTTTACATACTAGCTAATAATCTCAATCTAAAAAAATATTCAAAACAAGCAATTTTAAGATAACACCATATGTAAAACAGCCGGCCAAGAAAACAACAACGATATTACATCTTTCTCACATATTCACACACAATCTTGATTAATAATTAAAACTAATCTTTAAAATTGTTTATTATACTTCATAATATACAATATTCGTTAGGCAAACTTTCACTCGGATAAAACCCGGGCGAAGCCGGGTACACATCCGCTAGTATATATATATATATATACAGTATATATATATATATATAAAAAATGAATGTATGTGTGTGTGTCCTTTATGCCTGACCAAAACACTCAATGGAACGCCATGAAACTTTGGGAAGTTATTTAGTATAGTACTGGGAAGGTTTCTAGCAAATAAAATTTTTGAAATAACTTTTCGCCTAAAAATAATCAAGATAAATATTCTAATTTATCTGTTATAATTCAACAATCTGCTCTAAATATTATCATGATGATACGATGATTTTTTAATGTAGAAAATTAGGAAAGACAAAATTCAGGATAACACGGCAATTTATTTGAGACAATAATAATGATACAATTCCAAGGCAAGATACTATTCCTTTAACTTCCAATTACCGAGGGAACCAATTAATATTGATTTTATTCAACTTACCGAGTATTTTTCAAGGGACCGGGAAAAAATGTTCAC